AACAGGAGCGTGTTTCTTTATTGCTTGGGGCATAATGGGTATTATAGCCCCCTCCCCCCCCCCTCCCCCCCCCTATAACGTAACGCCCCTTCCCCCCAGTGCGCTCCAGGCACTGCCGCCATGCGCATCGGGCACACGGCCGGGGGGAGGCGTTACACTATACCCCCCCACCCCCTTCCCCCCTGTAATGCCCGTTATCGCCGAAAATAAAGAAACGCGCTCCAAGAAACATGTCCTGGCAGTGCATCATCAGGGCTCATCTCAATTCCTCCGATCCAGTTCGATTTGATTTCGGTGGCTTCCGATTCCGACTCGATTGGACTTCGGATTCAGATGTGGATTTCGCTTTCCCAGCTGAGGCCTGACTAGCCTGCCGATTTCCGCCGATTCGACTTCTCTCGACTTGGCTGCTGATTTCTGCCGATTTCCGCAGATTTTCTGCCGATGTCGATCGCCGATCCGACTTATCGATTCGTTTCTGGGCTCTCCTGCATCAGGAGTCGTTGCGTGATATCCGACCCTCGAATCAAACCTCCGGGTCGGTTTTGGAGGTTGCTGCGACGATCGTGGCGGCCACAACTTCGGGGCACTGTTTTCGTCGAGGAGCGGCATGCCACTTCCTAGTTCCCCCCTTTTCTGCGAGGCAGACGTGGCTTCCGAGTGACAATCTTGCTACAGCGACCTGTCATCAACATATGACCAACTTGGGGGATTAGGGGTAAGATTTATCGCGCAACCAAGGAGGTCTGGGGCCCATGGAGACACACATAGACAGATAAACTGCGGATTTTCTATTATTTGATGGATTTTCGTATGCCCCTCCATCTCCGATCGCTTCCCATCTCTGTCCTTGGAAGTCGACGATTGCTTGCATCTGTGCCTATGTCTCCCTCCTGGTGCCTGGGCTGCAGTCCTCTGTCTGCGAAGCGCCCGCTCCCGCCCCCCTCCCGGCGGGTGGTGCAGCGGCACCGCCTCCGCCACCGCCGGTGAGGCGGCTCCCCAGGGTATGGCCCTCCGTCTTTGGCGGGGCCCATGCGCGCCCCGACGGACGTCGCGACGCCGTCTCTCCGGGCCTCTCGCCCGCTCTCGCGCGTGCGGGACCTCCAGGGCAGGGCTCGAGCTCAAGGGTGTTTGGGCAATTTTTCGTAGGCCGCTTTCGTTCCGGTTTCGTGCAGCAGCGATGGCGGAGCGAAGGCAGAAGGAGGGATAGCGAAATCAGCACGACAACGGAAAACATTGTTTAGCTCGAGCCCTGCTCCAGGGTGATCCCAGCTGTCCCTCAGAGGAGGCGAGGGTCCCCTATACCGCTACCGTTTCTAGTTTTCCCCCTTTTTGGGCCTCCTGGGCGGCCCTCGTCGCCACCGCTGGATTCGCCTCGAAGTTCTTGTCAGGTCGCACCCCAGGAAAGGTGTCGGGAGTGGCGGTGCCAGTGCCTTTTGGTCTCCCCAGTGCCAGGGAGGCCCAGATGGCCACCAGGGCACCTCTCACGAAGCTTAAGTCGGGCATGTCCCTCTACAGGAGGATAGTGACGAAATTGTCAGGGTGCGCTTTTTCGATTTGTTTTTGTCATTTTTGGTTTAAATGCTATCTTTCATTTTCCCTCCAACATCCGCATGTAGGAGGACATGCCCGACCTAACACGAAGCCCAAACGTCCTAAGGGGGCTCAAGTTGGCGTGAAGCGCTGGGGGGCACCCTGGGAGCCGGGGCCACTTCCGGCAGCGCCCGAGGGGTGCGGGGGCTCAGGGGTGGATGGGGGGAGGGAGATGGAGGGGAAGGGAGAGAGAGAGAGAGAGAGAGAGAGAGAGGGGAAGGGGAAGGGCCGAGGAGGGAAAGGGATGGAGGGAGGAGGGAGATGGGGGAGGGAGAGAGAGGGGACGGGGAAGGGCCGAGGAGGGAAAGGGATGGAGGGAGGAGGGAGATGGGGGAGGTGCGCCTCCTCGTTGCTACCAGGGTTGCAGGAAGGTGCAGAGCGGAGGCGGGTGACGATGATGCTGCTGATGCTGCTGATGATGATGCTGGTGATGCTTATGATGATGATGATGATGATGATGATGATGATGATGATGATGATGATGATGATGATGATGATGATGATGATGATGATGATGATGATGATGATGATGCTGATGCTGATGCTGATGCTGATGCTGATGCTGATGCTGATGCTGATGCTGATGCTGATGCTGATGATGATGGTGAGGATGCTGATGCTGCTGCTGCTGATGCTGCTGCTGATACTGATGATGGTGATGATGAGGATGACGATGCTGACGCTGATGAGTGTGATGATGATCCTGGTGATGACGATGCTGATGCTGCTGCTGCTGATGATGATGCTGCTGATGCTAATGCTGATTTGGAAGAGCGTGTTCTACCGCTGCTGGCGGAAAACCGGGGGGGGTCACTACCGGTTCGAACCCCTCCTCCCCCCCCCCAGTTCATCATGAAAAGGGGGGGGGTCACTACCGGTTCGAACCCCCCCCCCCTCGAAAATCGGG